TGTATCGCCAGAGGACCTTGAACAAAGGAAAAATAAGATAAACACAGTGCATGTGTTGTGCCTTTCTCTATTATCACATGYAATTTATGGCTTTATCTCAAACCCATGTACCTTTTCTCCATATTTCAAATTGCCTTGGCTTCAGTTCACTATTGGATCTGTTATTATACACTAGTTGTAAAAGTCACATGGAGTGATTTTTGTATTTTGGCCTGTAGACACACCTCCACATCATTTGGTTYAGAGGAGCTGAAACACCAGAACTCCCCATGAARTAACTCAGCAGTCTGTCTGTGTGAGAGAGAGCCCAGCTTCCTGGCTCTATYACATCCAGCAGGGATGAGGTAAAGAGCAGGCTACTTCAAACATAAAAGACTYACTGAGGGCAATRAGAGTGTAMAATCAAGGCAATGTGTTTTAGGCGTGAAAAGAAATTCACCTTTTGTGGAAGCTGGCTGAGGGCTCTGGCAATCACATTACTTTTTTCATCACTTARGTTGTAGACCATCGACCCAAGAGTGAATACGATAATGCCATGTTCCCCTGAGCTCTGAACAAATTCTTCCATTTCCTAGGAGAGGCAGAAAACATAACAGGGGTAATTACACAGTGCAGATTACACAGATTTCTGTGAAGAGAGAGCATAAGCTTTTCAGCTTCTCAAGAAGATGCTGATGCTGTGAGAGCTTTCTGACAGGAGGGCCTGACAAAGACAAACCTGGCACTGTAGAAACAGGTCATTTTTCCCCAAGAAAGAGAAGGACAAGTTAAGAGAAGTGACAGATGCTTTGTCTTTTTGGAAGCAGGAGTTTCAGGATACATTACAAATAGCAGGAATTAATCCTGGCATTATCAGGAGCAGGCCATACATGTCCTGTAACACCCTCCCTGCCGTAGCTGTGGTTCTGGACTTTCCTGGACCAAGTACTTTGCATTACAAAGCTCTGCTGGTAACTGAGAGGCTGTCTCAACATCCTGATCACAGATTCACCAAGTTTGTGCCATCTCTGTTACTCAGAGAGTTGTCATTTCTTGCAACACACTACATTGCTCAAAAGACTTTCTACACATCTGACCAACATGTTTTCCTGTTCCTTTTATTTGTTAATGTCTTGTGAAGTGGAGCAGTGATATGCAAAAGAGAATAATTGTCCATTTCCCCCAGCTTCACCCCTGCTACAGGGGAGTGGGAAGAGAGGGAGAAGGTTTTTTTTTTAATAGACAACTTGCACTGAAGATGGCCTCCATCTTCTGACGCTCCTACAGCAATGATGATCTATGTGAGAGCTTGTCATATTGTCATCTTCAATGTTGGGGAGTTTCAAATTCTACCTGAATAYGGTGATTGACAGGAGAGCATAGACTGGAGATGCTCACTKTTTTACTCCCTCTAAGATGCCTTAAAGTAAGGTACAATAGAAAAGGTGTTTATCACTCATCTATTTCTGCAAGTTTTGACTCCATTTTACCTGAAGAATCTGTCTTGTTACAGTAGCTCTTAATATCAGGTATTTCAATGTTRTGATGAGCTGCAAGTCTGTGTCTTAGAATTAAATCTTAGCTAGCCTGAGGTAGCACCTGCCTTTCCTAAAACAGACACTCTATTACCCCATGATGACATCAGCTATGTTCTTCTAAGATAGCAGGATGTAAACCACTCTCAGTTTGACAAGCATGGACACATGGTAAAGAATTYCCTGCCCTCCAGCCACAGCAGAGCATCTTCTTTAAGAGTGAGCTTTCTCGGGACATGGATCCYGCRGTTGATCAGGGAGAGAGACAGTCTTTGGAACAAATCAGCCAATRGYAGAACGAAGCTGGGATACCTCTGGTAATGGTTTTGCAGGCTGGCAATGAAGTCCTCCAACAAACTCAAAGTTGGGCAGGAAAGGGCGTGGGAATTCAAAATCCCAGTATGTTCTGATTAACCAAATCTCTGCTTTCCCCATCGTCTCACACAGGGTTGTGGGCCTTCCTGTGGACARGGTACAAGAGGTTTACAACATGCATGGGAGTGATCTTGTTTGCTCCAGATTGTGAAATAGGAGCCTTACCTTTCTCTTTTGGCACTCCCCGTCAGTGCAGTTTATCAAACCATGCTTAAGATGAAAACATCCACAAATCTGGACTTATTCCTTGCCCTGCCCRTGCCCAGCTTTAGCAAGTGGCCATGAGCCAGGCAATACAATMTTTAAAAGCATTCTGAACCTTCAGAATTACTTCAGAGCAGTACAAGCAGGAAGCATTCATTATCTAACATAGAAGTGCAATTCCTGTGGAGCTTAAAGAATTCATTACCCGTAATGCTTGTAATAAAAACACACCTTGGGGAAGATTTCATTCACAGAAAATTTAGTTCCACATAAAAAATCAATTTATCACAAAGTGATGATCACCTATCAGGGAGGAGGAAAGTTTTATACAAAGTTCTGTAGCATTTTTCAAATGGTGACTCATTTAGCAGCTGCTCAGTCAACAACAAAAGACAGGTACAGACATCTCACGTTTTCTCAAGGACGGGGTCTGACACATGTTGGGAAAAATTGGCCAACTCCATAGATACTTTTAATGTCATTTCATGCAAAATACAGTGGTTTTAGAAATCCATCTGAAGAAAAATCTAATGGTAATCTGATGTTTTATAACTTCTCATTTGGAAAAATATATATTCTTAGGTACATGTTGCAAGTTGTATTTGCAGTATTTTCTCCACAAAGAGAAACTGGGAAGTAAAAGGGTTAGAAGYATTGATAAATAGTTTCCCAAATCCAGCCAATGCAAGCAGGAATCAATCTAAATAAGCAGCAAGATAAAAATTATCTGTAGGGCATCTTCCTATACTATTGGATCAGTACAGTAATCRACACCAGTAATTTTTTCTTTCTATTTAAATTAGAGAGCAGTGAGTCAGTTACAATGTTTCTGTAGTGAAAATTAAGTCTTCCTTACAATTAGAGTGAYATAAATGTTTACTAAAGTCTTGATGTGGCATTAAGAAAARTCAATCCARGGAAGAAGGACTCGTTTGCAGAGCACGGAGGCACTCTTTGCAAATGCAGGAATAGATCAGACMGSARCAGAAGTGATGCCCCTGTGTTTACTGTTCACTCGTTATCTGCCTAAACTTAGATACCCTGGACAAAATGCAAAGTCCTTTGAACTGAAAGGTCTTTTTATTAAATACTGAGTCATACCTGAGTTGTACTATGTTGTAACAAAATTTTCAGATATGTATGTAGTTTAGGGAGACTGTTTCAAACTSTGAATGGTGGATGAAAGTGAAAGATGACAGCATTTATTGTTTGAGAACCTGAACTCACGCTCAGCATCCTGCACTATGCACAGTTGAAAGATACTTCAGGATTGCCACCTCTGCTGGCCTTTAGAAAAAGGATTTTGAGACAACAGCACTGAGGTTCCAAAGCTGGTCAAAGAGGTCAAAAAGCACAGCTTTTGCAAGAAAAGAAACCACTCAACAGCTGCCTTACCTAAGACATTACTGTAGTACCCATCCCATTCATCTTGCCAAAACTTCAAGAAAAATAAATCCATGCAAAAGTAGAAGAGGAAGTTCTGTAGTCTTTGCATAAAGGACATGTTGTCTGTCAGCCCCATTGTGCTAGCAGGCACATAGGAAGGTGGGGACGGGAGCCCACCGCACAGCCGCTCTACCACGTTTGCCTCAGAGAAGCGGAAGCTGTAGACAAAAGGGATCTCTAGGATTTCTGCTACAAGTTCCCCACAAACAGACAGGGGGTCAGCGATCAGAACATCAAACTTGCTCTTCTGCAGCTTTGCTATCAGGTGAGAGTTCATCACCACGGTATCACAGGTCTGCTTTGACATTTTGGTAAAGTCCTCCAGCTGTTCTTTCATCGTCCACATGATCTCCCAGGGGAAGAGATTAGAGRCTTCATTCATCCAGAAATTGAGGAACTCCTCCATGAAGGCATCCAGGGTCTCCTGGCTAAAGGGCACTTGCAGGACCTCAAAAGTGAAAGGGGAGGAGGTATCCTGGTAGTTSATGAGCAGATTGCTTGAGGGCACCAGCACAGTCACATCATGGCCCCGGAGAACGAGCCCTTGCAGGAGCACTTTCACATTGATCCAGTGACTGGCATCGGTGGGCCAGACCACCACCTTCCCACAAAAACCAGTGCTCCAGCAGCATATGTAGGCCCAGAGCAGCCAGGGGAACTTTGGCCCCAACATGTCAGCATTCCACGTACAACTCTGGTCTGACTGAACTGCAAGCAGTTCACTGCTTCGCTGTGCTAACACTTTAGAGCCAATCAATAGAAGTGGAATCTGTTTGATGACTACATTGGCAAGCATGATAAGAYTGGCAAATGTGGCAAGAGGGCATGTCAAAACACAAAACAACACTCATGGGAGGATGGGACAAGCAGCAAATCGCATTCTGGAGAATCCTGCAGATTCACAGCTGATCTCAAAATTACAGCAGCTATCTGCTCACCACAAAATGCATTTTGCAGTGTGTGAAGATCAGAAGCCTTTTCCCTGCATTGTGGTTYAATCTTGAGAGGCAGCAAGGCACCACAAAGCCTCTAAATCTTCCATAACAGGAGAAGATAAGGAAGGGCAAAAGTTAGAAAAGTTACGGAATGAGATAAAGACAACTTAAGAAAAAAAGAAAAAAAAAAAGGTAAAAAAAGGTAAAAAAAAAGGAGCAAGCAAAGCAAGTGATACAAAAAGAACAGTTGCTGACCACCAGCCAACTGATGCCAGTGAGTCCCTGAGAAACAGCAGCCCTGACAAACATCTGCCCCATACCTTCTATTTTCCTG